CCCGGAATACCCTCTATGTGCCAGGCCCCAGAGATACAGAGGTGAAGGCAGTGCGGGTCCTGCCACGATGAAGTGCAGCTGAGTACGGGAGGCGATGAGGACATCCCTGTGCAGGGCCAAGGTGCAGATGGGGCACAGAGAAGGCCTCGGGGAAGACTTCCCAGGGCAGGTGACACCTGGGCTGTCTTGTCAGCCAGTCACAGTTAGCACAGCAAAGGGGGAAAGCATATCCTGGAACTGGGCATCGACCTGAGCAAAGGCCTAAGAGCAAGCGGTAATCCGGGGTGGGTCCAGGGAGCTGCAGGTAGTCTAGACCCATGGCAGCATTCAGAGCCAGAGCAGGGCTCTGTATCTACATATCCTCATCACATTCTGTCTGGGGCAGGCCCCAGGGGCCGGTCCCAGTACTTTCCCAAGTGCCCCCCCCAACTCCCTCCTGGCCCAGCTAAGCCAGGGCCCTACAGCCAGTGACCCTCTATGATTGGCATTTGTCTCCGAGGAGTGCTGGACCCTTGAAGGTTTGCTGCCACTGACCAGGCTGTTACTTCTGGGCAGTGAACACTCTGGGGTCATGAGTGCCCCCAAGCCAGAGGGGGCCAGAGGAGGGACCTTGTCTGCTACTGGGCAGATTTCACTGGCTGAGTGTTGAGGAAGTAGGATCACTCCAGCGTCTTCTAGACCAGCCAGAGCCCTGAGAAGCCTCAGACCAGCCATCTCGAGGTTCCAAGAAAGGTCACCGTGGTTTAATAGGGGTGCATACATCTGTCCAGAGACGCCCGGCAGACCCACATGCCATCCTCTTGTTCCCACCTACAAGTACCTGCCTGGTTCAAGCAAGCCCTCACTGGCACAGGACCAGCCTTCCTGTTGGACAAGGGCAAGTAAGAGTTATTCATTCATTCTTTCTTTCATTCATTCATTCAACACCAAGTATGTGCCAGGCCTGTTCTAGAGGCCAAGAAGTCAGAAATGAGTTGGACACAGATCTGCCCTCAAGGAGCCTACAGTTAGTGGGGGAAGTGGACACATAACAGAGAGTTGACACTCTAGGATGTGATAGAATGCTAGGACGTCAGAGACAGGAGCTAGGGAAGGTTCTGGACAAGGCATTTGCATCCATGTCTTAAAGGATGAGGCTTTCTAAGCAGCGGGGTGGGATTCGGCTACAAAGCCTCCCTAAAACCAAGAGAAATCCTATATCCGAGGCCTCCCATCTCTTCTTTACTCCCTAGGGTCCCCTCCCCCACAGTTTCCTGAGAGCAGAACATTCCTGCAAGTAGCCCAGGCCATCCCCACCCAGCCCTCAGCCCCGTATCACCCGGAGCTCAGAACAGCTGTGCTGCAAGGGGCATCCGGGCCAGCCTAGGCCTGTCACACAATGGTGTGCGCCCAGCAGGGGAAGTCGTAGTACAGCCTCGGCCCTCTGCCTCGCTCCAGGCCACAGACAGGGAGGGCAGGCTTGGGGGAGGGGTCCAAGTGGCCGTCAGGAGACCCCTGCAAGAGGAAGGGCTGGGCCCAGGGAGGAAGGACGGAAGGCAACTGGGAGGTCAGGAGCTGAGCCCCAGGCACAGAGGTACCTTGGCAGGGGGGTGGGGAGACGGAGGTTCCCGAGGGGGGCCTCCCTGCCGTGCGAATCACAGCCAGAGGTTAGCAATCCCAGATAACCAGCCCTGGCTTCTCAGGCTGGTGGGGACCTGCAGAAGACACCTGTCCAGGCAGAAAGACAGAAAATCTCCCACCACCCGCTTCTGGTACAAGAGCCGCCAGCAACAGCCCCATGAAAGTCTGTGAGCAGGGGATGCTGCTCTTGGCTCCTCTGTTTATTAAACTTGGACCCTGCTGCTGTTTGTGAAGCCTGCTTCCCCTGGCTCAAGCTCAGGAAACCCCAGCCCGGCCCCTTCCCTGTGCTGCACACCAAGTAAGCCGGCCTTCTCTGGCCCGGCAATGACTAAGTTCAGACCCTTCCCATAGCCCTGCTTCTTGAGAGGGTTCTGCAGCTGCTCACGTGCTACACGTGCAACTGGTTCAGTTCCTCCAGGAGACCCTGGGGCCCTGCAGATAGATGAGCTTCTCCCCTCCCCATTCCCCTCCTGCAAGCAAGTGGGGTGCACGGGCCGCCATGCCCACCAGGAGTCCTGTGGTTTCAGGGCTGCCAGGCAGGAAGGGGAGTGAAAAGACTGATGTGGAAGGAGTAGAGCCACGGGCTTGTGGGCACACGTTCATCCCCCAGGGCCCGGTATGTACTGTGAGCAAGTCCAAGTCCTGGCCTGTGATGCCACTCACTTCAGTGCAGAGGAAGGAGCACAGACCTGGGAAGCAGGAGACCCAGGCTTCAGTCCCAGTTCCACATTCAATTGTGACAAGACACAAACTTTTGGGAACCTCAGTTTCCCTATGCATTAAATGGGAAAATAAAACCTTCCAGGGTTTTCCAGGGGAGGGGTGGGGAGGAGTAGGAACCAAAGAAGTAATAACACCTGGTAAAGCGTTTTGGAAAGCACGGTATTATCACAGAAGAGGCAAAGATATGGAACATATACTGGCCTTGCCCATCCTGTGCCCAAGGCATGCATTGCTAGCGGATGTCAGCACTTTCTCATTAAACTATATTGATACTTCAGAATCCCTCTTAACATATATTCCAGGAAGCCATACCAAGAGATCAGAATCGCAAAACAAAATGAAACCCATGCCCCCGTTGGCCTGCAAAAGCTCAGGGCATCATGGCTGTTGAGGAGAGAGCCCAGACGAAGCTGCTGGGAACTCGAGCTAGCCGAAAGTCAGAGGTGACCCTGCCGATCGTGAGTGGTCCAGAGGACAGAACCCTGGCATCCTGGTTCAGCCCATCACCCAGTGGCTGTGTTTCAGTCATCAGCTCTACAACCAGGTCCAAAGGGCAGGCTGTTATTGGATCCCTACCATAGAACTCACAGAATAGTTAGGGAGCCACAGCGTCCATGCAGGAGAGGTGACCATGCAAAGCGGGCACAGTGAATGCCCAGTGAAAGGGCTAGATGGTCAGTGCTCTCAGTGGGCTGGACAGATGGTGATCAGGGCTGTGAGTGTCAGCTTCTCAAGAGGACTTTGCACCTAGCATCCTGGCTGCCAAGCCCAGTTCCTCTTTCTGCCATTGTTATTCCCTTTGAGTTCCCTGAGCCAATCTTAGCCCAGCCCCCAGCACAGTTAGGCCAGCCCTGGAGAGCTCTAGCTGTCACCCAGGAAGCCCTCTTCCAGGAGGCAGGGCCGCAGAGCCCCAGCTGGGGTGGAGACTGATAAGACCTCTGCAACCCCCAGCCCCACCTCGTCTTCCCAGTTCCCCCACCACAGAGCACTCCGTGAAGAAGGTGATGCATTAGCCCCTCTATCCCAGGCTGCCGCGTGTAGGAGGGAGCTCTGGCCAGGCAGGAGCCAGGGTATCCCCAGGGCTGGTCTTTACGGGAAGTGGCCCCGGGGTTCCTGCACACCTACCCCAGTCCATCACCACAGACCCCCAGGCAGGGCCAGCCTGATCCAACAGCAGCATATCCAGTGGCCTCTGCAGTGTGTTTTCAGAGAGGGTCAGTTCCATCCCCTTAGCTTATCACTTGACGGAAATAAAGGCAGGAGATCTTTATTAAATGTGATCAGGAGATAGGTTACAGGTCCCAGAATTCCTGATACATCTCTTAACAATGACTTAGTGCCTAACAATGACTTAGTGCCTAAAAGCACAAATTTCCCTCCCACGGCCTCGGGCAGTGCCATGATCCGTGAGCTTCCTGCCTCAGGTCCACCCTGCCCAGAAGGCCCCAGGGCTCCTCCCAGCCCCCTTGGAGGCAGGCACCGTGTTCTTGCCCCCCTATTCCGTGCCATGCACCCCAGCCCACAGGCACTGAGCCTGTAGGAACCGGCCACCAGAGCTGGCATCTCCAGAGGCGCCACCACCCTAGGGCGAGCACAGAGGGATACCCTAGTGCCCTGCCCCTCCCCACAGCATCAGGGAGGGTGCCTTTAGGGTTGCTAGGGGCAGGGCGTGTTGTCATGGATGAAGATGGAGGCTGGAGCTCAGAGTAAATTTCACTGAAAACAGGAAACCACGAAGCGATACGTTCACTAGTAAAGGGTCCAGAGAAGAAGAACTCGAGGCCATGCAGGAGGAAGCTGGGGAGGAAGTGTGGTGTCTTTCTGCTGCGGGGCCTCCACCCTCCTCCACACAGAGCAGCTGGCCCTAGGGTCTGGCAGCCAGTTTCTTAGAAGTTGTCTCTGCCTTGAGGTCAGAAGCTGAGGTTTGGGCCAGGCCAGCCTCCCCACTGGGCAGGAGCATTCTTTCTGCGCTGGGGCGTGAGGAATCTGGTCCATGGGCTTGTCCTTCAACCCTAGGGGTAGCCTGGCCCTGCCTCTAGCAGGTATCACCCTACCCACCGCTGCTCCCTGGGCCCCCACAAGCTGTGAGAATAGCTCCCTCTTTCTGCGGCAGCTGGCACTAAGCAGATGAAACCGAGGGGTAGATCCCCAGGGACAAAGCAGGAGCCAGGGTTTGGCATTCCGGCCACTGGAGGAGTCAGTGCAGAGTCTCGAGGCCCGAGGCCCGCGCCCACCTTCTCCTCAAGGCCCCCGGGCACAGCTAGAGGCCCACGTTGACCTACGGTCTTGGGCCTGAGAAGGGAGCTTTAGGAGGCAACCAAGGGGCTCCCTGGCTTCAACTGCAGGCCCGGGGCTCACTGCTGCTGGAGAGCCTCGAGCTGTTCCCTTCTCCCACCCCAACTCCCACCCCCAACCAGGCCAGGCGGGCTTCTCCCTGCCTGCTGGGCCTTACCCTGGCCTGAAGCCCTGGCTCTCAGCACCCAGGCCTGGCTCAGCAGAGCCAGCGTTGGCTGCTGGCAGATGAATGCCCAGTTGAAATGACGCCCTCCACAGTGCAGTGCCCGGGGCTCCTGTCCAGCTCAAACTTTCTCCTCCCCTTCTCAGGCCCCACCACCCATTTTCACCCCACAGTGTACAGAGACCCCTCCCCACGCCTCTCCATGCTCTAAAACTCTTTAATCGAAATTCCACAAAGGATTCCCCTCATGTACGTGTATAAAAACAAACTTGGGTCATGCCCTGAAGCGGGAGATGGAGCAGAGGGTCCAGAGCAGAGCGGGCATAAGACTTTCTAGGGACACGCCCGCTCCTGCCACCCGACAGGATCACACTGCAGTGAAGGCTCAGCACAGATTGACTGGAACAGAGGACCAAAGACTGGGCGGTGGGGGAAGAGGGCTCCCAGGGCCTCAGGCACCTCGGAAGCAGGGTAGGGATTTAAACCCAGCTCTTACGATCCACCCACAGGTTTTGCACTGTTGCCCAAGTAGTTTTGAATAGCACCCCAAGAGTGCCACAGGTTGAGCAGTACATTATGTGGTCACCATCTCTCTCGACCGCAGGGGGCAGGCGGTGGAGCCCTCTCCTCTCACCTTCCCAGCAGGCCCCTGGCTCTCCCCTCCACTCCTATCTGTGGTGGGTGGTGCAACCTCCGGCCTGGTTCCCATTGCCCAAGATGCCAGCTGGCTCACAGTGGCCACCGTGCCGCAGCATATACTTCCTGTTTCGGGGCTTCTGGCCAATGAATCCTGGGGACCAGAGTGCAGGCAGTGGGAGCCCCAGATTTGTGTAACCTGCCGACGGCTCCTCAGAGTTGGCTGCTAGAAGGCAGCTGGGGAAGGCTCCCACGGCCCAGGGTCATGCAGGCCCAGCCCCAGAGCCTCATGATTACAAGGAGGTTTGACAGACGAGCAGTCTCAGGCGAGATGGGGGAGCTGGGTCTCTCCACATCTTGTCCTATCTTGTCCCTCATGCCTGGAGGGTGGCACTGGGGAGTCTGCCCAGTGCCCATCTCTGCTGTCAGGTCCCAAGGCTTATGTCCCAGGAGAGAGGCTGCCACACAGCTGGCAGTTCTGGGACTTCTAAGATGGAGGTCATTTGGCATCAGTAGCTGGTGAATTTCAGGTCTCTGGGGCGGGATCCCAGCACCCCACCATCCTTGAGACAGGGGCTGAGCGATCCATCATCTTCTCCCTTCTGCCACGTAGCATCCAGAGAGGCTGAGGGTCTGGCCATCAGGGGTATTTCGAAGAGTCTGAGCTTAGAGCAGGAGGAAAGAAACCAGGGCCAAGGCCGAGGGACCACTTAGAGGGCCAGCCCTAGCTCAAATGCACCTGCCCCAGGCCCAGCCACAACTGCCCACGGCCCCCAGCTGGTCTAGATGGCCTCAGAGTTTGGAGAGTCAGGGACAGGGTCTGCAAAGGAAAGGAGAAGCAGAGTGAAGTGGGGGTTCCTCTGTCCTTCATCCCCCCCAACCCCACACCCTGAGGCTGTGAGGACTCCCCAGGGAGGGCGGGGAGTGAGGCTGATGGCCTGCACGCCATGGAGAGGTCATGACCTTGCGGGCCATAGAGCCGTGAGGGAAGAGAAGCACTTACCTAGGGAGGGGAAGAAGACATCCCCGGGGCCTGGTGGAGACAGAGGAGTGTTGGGCTCAGAGAGCAGATGCCGCCCAGACTCAGAAGGCTGCCTCCGGGCCATGTACGTCAGGGGTTGCCTGGGCTTGGTCTCTGGCATCCCATGGGAAGGTGGAGAGGTCTCAAAGCCAGGGTTTTCGATTCCTTGAGTGTTGTTGCTGGAGAATCAGAATTGAAGGTCATCCGTGCTGCCTGGGGCTAGGCCTCTGCCCTCCCGCCTGCCTGCCTTCTCTGCTCCCTTCCCCTCACCTGCCTTCCCACCTCAGGCCTCAGCAGCCTCTCCTAGCAGGAAGGGAGGATCCAGGGCCAGAGAGAAAAGGCCATGGGCTGCCCTCGCCACCTGCCCTGAACTGAGGGCATCTGACCCCAGCTCCACCCTGTGGTCTGACCATCTGCCCCAGGCTCAGGAAGGAAGCCCAGGGTCAGAGGCGCCTCAGGAATCTGGGGACAAGTCTCTCTTTGGTCAGTAGAGTTAATGGCATTAGCACTGAATGTCCCCACAGCTTGTCTTGAGCTGAAGGGAGGCATTCTTCCTGCTTGGGAGTGGGACAACCTCTGAGGACGCCTCCAACTCTGAGATTCTAGCAGGACTTCCTGTGACCCGTCTTGAATATCATCCCTTTCAAACATCAGGGAGGAGCTCTGAATTTAGTGTTGCATGTACTGGGGCCAAATTTCTAAATGTGGCTCATTCCCAAGCACGCCCTCCGTGCCTGCCTGCATGCCAGCTTCCTGCCCAGAGTGCACCAACACACATTCCCTGTCTACTCTATCCCCAACCTGCCTCCTCCATCTGAGCCCGGTCAGCCTCTGCCCTTGTAGCCTGACAGCCTTCTCCTTGGGGTGCCCTGCAGGGAGGGGCCACAACTCCAGATGTGCTGGCCTCCTTTGCATGTTTCAGTGTCTGCCTGGGCTCAGCTGCTTCCTCCCCTCCCCCACCCTGGCCTGGCTGACCACTGAGGCCCGAATGTGGGTGCGTAGTTCATCCAAGCATCCTGGAGCTCAGACTGCTGGGTGAGGGGTGGCAGGGAAAACAGCCAATCAGCACAGATGTGTAGGCCTCGGTGGCAGATGGCAAATGCTCTTCTAACCAGCTGTGCCAGGCAGCTAAACAGGGGCCCTATTGCCCAGAAATATCTCCTTCCTGACAGCTGGCCCAGAGCACAGAGAGGACCAGGGAGGCCACACCTGTGTCCTCAGCCCTGTCGTGGTATAAGCAGTGACCAGAGAGGAGAGGGGAAGAGATCCTGGTGAATCAGGACCAGTCTGTCCTGGCTAGAAGATCTCCCTCCCCCTTAACTGCTACAGAAGGAGTTTGGGTGTAGATGCTGCCCTTCAGAGATGACAGCCCAGGGAAGAGAGACAGCCTGCCAAACTCTGAATCGGGGTGGCACAGCTGCTAGAAGTGTTCTCAGGAAGGTCTCCATGGGCCTTACCTGTCCATCCGCACCAGCTCCTGGGCACCTAGGGACAAACAGACAGAGAAGCTAGTCACAAAGGGAAGGCTTCCCTAGACAGCATCCCTGCCCCCACTGGCAGATGCCCCTCGGGGAACGGGAGCAATCCTGGACAGGGCCGTGCTCAGCCCTGGATCCCACTTCTGTTCACTCAGGAAGCCCGTATGGCAGGCAGTGCTCTGCGTGTCTACCCAGCAGGTGAGGCCTCAGTGAGTGGCCCCTTTTGACCAGTGATAAATGAAATTTGGGCTGCATTTTACAAGTGTCTGGGACAACATTTGTTGCCAGGAAACGAAAGGCAGCCAGTGATTTCTCCCATGTCTTAACTTGGTGATGTTAGACATTCATGAGCAACCCAAGGCCTGGCTCCTGAACTTGCCGTTTCCTGTTTGGACATTTGTCACGTTCTGGTCGTCAGCCATGATTTACTGGGCAGGAGTGTCGGAAGGTCAGTTCCTAATTAGAGTTCCTGGTCCTCTCTGTCCCGTCCTCTGCATTGCCTAATAGGGTGGCTTTCAAGGCAACATCTCTTAGAGGAAACTTAGGGGGCCTGAGACCCTATCACTTCTCAGCCATGCTACTACTTTGTACTCTGCAGCCAAGCTGCTGCCACCCTGCCCCACTGTGCGGGTTCCCCACCCCCCAAACTGGCCACCAACCAGATGCAGTGACCCCAACTTCCCTCTTTCTTGCAGCTCCCCACGTACTCCCACAGATCTTTCTCGTCTTTTACGGGCTTTGCTGATTACGATGGGGAAACAAGCGGTAGGGGAGGGGCACAACAACAGAACACCCACGGGAAGTTGCACACAAGTTCCTGAAATCTCTGAGGTATCAGAATCATGGCTCCTTGTTTACCGAGTGACTGCGTGGGGCTTCGTGCGGGTTTCTGCGTTCCCTCAGCTCATCCTCTCCTCTGCCCTGGGGACACCGAGGCCCTGATACTAGAGAGGTTGCAACACCCATTGGCCTCCAGAGCACACTGCCTTCCTCAGTGCTCCCAACCCTTTCTCTTTCTTTTTTCCTGAGTTTGGCTCATTCCCAAGCATACTTTCTGTTCCAGGCTCTGTGCCAGGCTCCGTGCCATCATCCTGCCCAAAGTGCACCACACACGCTCCCGTCCACTCTGTCTCCGACCTGCCTCCCCGCTGCCCCGCTCTGGGCCACTCGGCCTCTGCCCTGTGGCCACACTCCTGGCATATCCCAGGTGACTTCTGTTGCCATAATTCCAACAGCTGCTTCTCTAGAGTCTAGATCAAGAAGAATGACCTGAATCTCCACTCCCTCTCCATTTTGCACCTGGTTTCTCTAGCATCGTCCCCTCTGGCATCTCTTGTGTCTGTCTCTAAGCCTTCGACCATGCAAGTCATTTTTTTTTTCTTTGTGGAGAGGACAGGGGACTGGCCTCAAAAATACTTTTTTTTTTTTGCGGTACGTGGGCCTCTCACTGCTGTGGCCTCTCCCGTTGCGGAGCACAGGCTCCGGACGCGCAGGCTCAGAGGCCATGGCTCATGGGCCCAGCCGCTCTGCGGCATGTGGGATCTTCCCGGACCGGGGCACGAACCCGTGTCCCCTGCATCGGCAGGCGGACTCTCAACCACTGCGCCACCGGGGAAGCCCTCAAAAATACTTTTATTAGGAGATAAATGATTGATACCTTCCTGTTACTGCATATATTAAATCTGGGTAATGGTGCTATGAAGTGGCTGTCCATCACAGAAATGGGGCTCGTTTAGAGTTTCAGAAGACGTGCTCAACAGCCCTAGTCGGCCCACCGCACCCCCTTGAGCCTTCTTTCAGTGCAATTCTTCAGCACCCAGCTCATCTGTCCCTTCCTCTGCGAAGCCCTCAGTCTGCAAGTGTCCCAGTGCGTGGAATAGGAGATACTGGGGGCTGACCCCAGCTCCCCGTGTCCTCAGGACACCCCACAGTGTTCTGGCCTGGGGATGTCCCCTCTCTGGTTTTCCTTCCTCCAGCCCGGGACAGGGGCAGAGCCTTGGCCAACCCCCTGGGGCCCTGTAAGGAAGGCTGTGAGGCGCCAGAACAGGGTCAGCAGTGCGCCTCCTCCACCCAACGCCGTCCTCTGCCAGGAATTTGTTTCCCAGTTCCCGTTCCCTGATGGAGACAGCCCTGTGGTCTGGAGTAAGGGGGACAGAAAGCACCTCTTCTGCTGGGAGCCAAGCCTAGCTGAGCGTGGCCCCCTCCTCGTCCCCTTCCCACCTCCGTGGAAGTGCTCCACAGACGAGCAGGAGCTGAGGGCAGCTCTGCAATGATTTCTCTCCCTGGTTGACCCCCGGGGTTCCTCTTTCTACTCCAGCCCCTTTACCCTCCCCCACCCCGGCCCCCACCCCAGGGTATCTGTGTAGATAGACTGTGGTGGATTTCGTAAGAGGAATAAGGGCGTCCTGAGAGGAAGGGAGAGGTGGCCACAGCCTCTGAGTGACCCAGTGACAGAGGGACAGAGGGGTGTCAAGTCGTTACAGTCCAGCCGAAGGCAATCAGGTGTAAGCCAAAGCCTTCCTGCAGAGGACAAGAGGGGAAGAGGTGGGGGAGGCGAAGCGAGGGCCCACACCCTCCCGCTCTTGGAAGACTGAGACAGGACGAGGCTCATGGGTGGAGTCAGAGGAAGGGCAAGGGGCACTGTCACCCAAAGAGACGGGTGAAAAGGTATTTGTGGTCACAACTTGAAACCTGGCTCCACCACGTACTCGCTGTGTGGTTCCTTAAGGGAGTTACTGAACGGCTCTGTGTCTCAGTTTGCTCAGCTGTAAAATGGGGCCAATGGTAGGAGCAAACTCTTAGAGGGGTTATGAGGAATGTGTGAGAGAACGTATATAGCAAGCTTGGCGTGGTACCTGGCACAGCAATCCTACTGGTTAGGGGCCGTCTGCTATGACACGCATGCTGATGGGTGCTTTTATTATGGTGGGACTATGTTCCTTGAAAAGCGTGAGGTGAAAAGCTCTGAGTCTGAGTCTTAGCTCTTCTGCTTACTAAGTTATATAACATTGGGTTAGTTATTTAACCCTGCTGATCTTAGCTTTCTCACCTGTAAAACGAAAGAGCTGAATCAAGTTATCTCTAAGATCCCTCGCAGTTCTGATAATCCAAAGGTCATTTTGTCCCAACAATTTCTACCAAGACAAGCCTACCCATACATTAAAGCAGGGCCCCAAACAGTCTCCAGGTGGTAGCACTTTTAGAAGCCAATTTCAGCTACTCCGTATGATTATTCATTCATTCAACAGTTATTCATTGAGCGCCAAGGGGCTAGTGGATCCCCTCCTCTCTCCACCATTGAGCCCAACTCCTTGCAAGACCTGTAGCAGCTCCTGTCTCTTGAAGAGCAGAATTGTGCCTGCCTTTAGCCTTTGCTAATCCCCGTGGCTGAGGGGGGCGGCTGGGGCAGGTCACTCACACACCCACCTAGCCCAGGCGGGCAGGGATACTCACGGCGGTTGGAGGCCACCTGCCTTTGCTTGTAGACCAGGAGCAGGATGAGGGGGAGGCAGAGGATGCCCACGATGCAGGCGCTCGTAGCCAGGGCAGCAGCCGTGATGCCTGAAAGGACAGAGGCGGCCAAGTTGAGGCCCCGTTCCCACTGCACTTCCTGAGGGGAAACTGAGGCCCAGAGAGGGAAGGCCTGGCAACAGGGGGACCCACCTTTACCCACGCCCCACAGCCAGACCCTCACTGACTTGCAGAGGCACGGAAGGTCTGGGGACCCCGGGGGGGCCACAGCACCAGGAATCAGGCCAGGCGCTTACAGCTGAGGCAGCTCAAGCGGGGAAAGAGAAGGGTCCTCATCCCAGCCCACGGGGAACAGCTCGACCACGGGTGACAGGCTGTTCCCTGAAAAGGGAGAGCAGGCCCTTCACAGACCTCACGCCACAGAGTTCAAGGTCAGAAGGAGCCCAGACATGAAAAACTTTTGGAAATAGATAGTGGTGATAATTGCACAACACTGAGAGCATAATTAATGTCACTGAATCAAACACTTAAAAGTGGTTAAAATAGGGCTTCCCTGGTGGCTCAGTGGTTGAGAGTCCGCCTGCCGATGCAGGGGACACAGGTTCGTGCCCCGGTCCGGGAAGATCCCACATGCCGCGGAGCGGCTGGGCCCGTGAGCCACGGCTGCTGGGCCTGCGCATCCGGAGCCTGTGCTCCGCAGCGGGAGAGGCCACAACAGTGAGAGGCCCGCGTACCGCAAAAAAAAAAAAAAAGGTTAAAATGGCAAATTTTATATATGTTTTATCTCAATGAATAATAAATGAATAAAAAGCCCTATTTATCCCCGGAGAGACTCCTTGGCTCCAGGACAGGCCCTCTAAACTGATCTCACATGTACAATTCACGGGGAAAAATCTTGGGGCAGGAACTAGGGAAATGTGAATCCTTGTCCAACATTTAAATTTTTTTAAACTTTTGAAATTACACACAAAAAAATTTACAAGTTAAAAAAAATTCAAAAGTTTCTTCCTCCCCCTCTACCCAGGTCCCCTCCAAAGACATAATCACTGTCAGTTTTTTTGTGTATAGTCTAGATACATTCCCCGCATGTAGAGCATACACGGGATCACAGGACAATTGCTTTTCCCACTTAGCACAGCTTAGACACCTCTCTGTATTGGCACAGAGATCTACCTCATTCTGCCTAGGGCTTTATCACGCGCCTCACCCAAAATTTATTGAAACAGTCCCCTACTGGTGTGTATGTAGGTTTCTTCCATTTTCAACATAACTAATAAAGTAGCAATGAACTTCTTGTGTAGGCATCTTTGCTCACTTGGGCAAGTACATCCGTACATAAAACCCTAGTAGTGAAAGTGCTGAGCCAAAGAGTAAGTGTATTTTCTTTTAGGCTATTGCTAAATTGTCCTCTAAAACAAACTTGTACTGCTTCACGATCCCATCAACAGCATGGGAGGTTTGATTTATTTCAGTCCATCTGCTGACTCCAGGAGTTTGGCTGGGAACAGACGTGCCCTCAGAACCACAACCAGTGTAAATGCATTTCCTTCCCAATTTTAGCCCTTCCCTCTGACAGAAAAACCACGGGCTGGGATACCTTGTCACAGCGTCAGCTTGGCTTCAGGGAGCTTTGGGGAGGTGAACGGGCTCAATGTTGCCTTTGCACTACTTATTTGGGAATAAAGGCTGTTTTTATCTCATTGTATTGCTGAACAACCTGACGGTGTAAACAAGCTTTCAGGGAGTTTGTTCAGACCTCAGAAGAGAACAAGCTGTTTTCAGGCGCTTTAGAAGTACCCGCTGGTACAAGAACAGTTGCTGTGCTGTTACAAAGCAAGTTCGACTCCACATTAAAGCAGGTTCCCCACAGATCTTAGCGAGGCTGCACTTTGAGAGTATTGAAAGTTAAATGTTCTATAATTCAGACATTTGAGTATCTCTAAACCCCATCGCAGGACCTTATTGTGGGCACTGAGAAACCGGCTGCACAGCGCTCTTTTCTGGTCGTCAAAGCAGGTCTCCTCCAGACTGGTACTAGGCAGCATTTGGTGTAGTCAGTCAGTGATCACTGAGTCCAGCTCCCTGTTGGCTGTGGGTGGCTTGGCCCAGCCTCTACCTGACTCCTGTCCCCAAGCAAAGACTCTCTCTCTTCGGCCCCTCTAGGGGATCAGGGCTTGGTTTCCTTACAGCCTGGCCTGGGAGTTGAGGCTAGGGCCAGGGGGCAGAGTTTGGGGAGAGTTCTGTGGGCTAGCTGCCCTCCAACACCATGGGCTCCTCTGCAGAGCACGGCCTCTCCACAGCTCCCCAGCCCTCCCGCTACGTGTGGTCAGTACCTGGGGGTGAGGTTGGGGGCTCCTGCTCTGTAGCCATCCAGAGCCAGACTCATGCTTAGAAGGTGATCAGGCACCGGCAGAGGCACCTGCCTAGCGAGCAACAAGCAGTGTGCCAGGCCCTTACAGAGCGGGGTGGGATGGGAGGGGCCCAGCCTGCTCAGGAGTCTTTGCCCAGGGCCTGTCAGTAGTACCCTGAGGGTGTTTATGGAGGAAGGGGGAGTTCAGTAGAGCTGCCCGGTTCCAGGGACAGGGCTGGATGAAAGCAAACCATACCTCCTGCTGTGTTGTGGGGGGTGGGGAGGTTGTTTCTCAGGGAGATGGGCTGCCCAGCCCCCTTCCCCAGGTTCAGTGAAAAACCACAGCCCCCCAGCAACTCGGGGCTCCTGGACTCCTTGGGTACCACCTTCCTCAGCCCCACTCCTCTCATCACCTCCCCTGCCACCTGAAGCTGCTGTGAGCATTCAGAGGATTTCATAGACCAGCTAGCCTCCTCCTCCCCAGAGATAACGCTAGGAGACTGGGGCTGCAGTCAGAGAAGGGAAACTCAAAGAGCTCCTTGGCTGGAAGCATCATTAACTGATCAGGTACCAAGGCTGGCTGGGGGGCACCTGTCTTACAGCAGGGACTGGGATCTTTCCAAAGGCAAGTGGCAGTGGAGGGCAGTACCCAGCAGTCAGCCCTGCGGCCTACTAAGCACGTGGGTCACCAGGCAAATGTTTCAAACTGTTAGAAAACAGGATATGTGTCCACTGTCGGCTGCCATCTACTTGCCATCCCGCCTTGGCACAGGGGAATGGATGAGATGACTTGGGAAGCCAGGCCTAGAATTCCACATTAGAAGTAATAGTAGCCAACACATACACAGCACTTACTCCGTGCCAGGCATGGTTCTTAGCGCTTTCTTTACACAGAGGACCTCATTTTAGCCTCATAACAACCTGGAAAGTATGATTGTAACTGTCATCTCCATTTTACAGATGAGAAAACTAAGGCACAGGGAGGTTAAGCAACTTGGCTGATTTCAGGATCTGTGCTCTTACCCACTTTACCACACTGCCTTTCACTAGAATGGACTCAGGTTGCAACTATGGCCGACACAGTACTTAATTTTTATTTAATTAGTTGCCAACATTTTAAAATTCAGGGAGTTCATGTAAAATCTGGACTTCTGACTTTGCTTGAAAATTCAGTGGCTCTGGCAACCCTGGGCCCCCTTCCTGGCATGTGGCGGTTGCAACTGCAAGTACAGACTGGCAGCTGGGTGCTCACCACAGTCTCTACCCCTCCCTACTGTCCTACCCACCAGCTCCCGGGCCCTGCGGGCATTTAGTTTTTGAGCCCTGACTCAGCACCTTAGATAACACAGGGGGCCTCCCTGCTACTTGGAAAGGGACACACTTGCTCACGTTGCTCAGTGGACACGCGGTACCCGGAGAACTGAAGCACTGTCCGAAGCCCACACACCCCACCCAAAAGCATAGCCGGGTTTCTCTTCATCTGAGGCCACTTCCGCCTCAGTGCCAGAACTCCACCACAGCTGGAGTCTGCAGACCTCCAGAACCAAGGGCCTGGAAGGGCATCGAAAGGGGACTCCAGAGATCATTGACGCTATCCCCCTGCCCTTGATGCCGAGACAGAAGCAAACATGTCCCTTTGGCCTTTAGCCAATTCCCTGTAGACAGTAGTTCAGGGAAGCAGGGGGCAGAGTGAGGCTGCACATCCCGCAAACTGGAGAGGAGGAAAATGTCAAAACCTGAGAGCAGAGGTGCCCAGCAAAGGAAGCCTGACCCTTAATAGTCAAGTTCAAGGTCCTGCCTCACTCTTGGGCACTCCTCAGCCAGACTCCTGGGATGTCCCAGGTGACTCCTGTTCCCTTAATTCCAGCAGCTGCTTCTCTAGAGTCTAGATCAAGAAAAACGACCCAGATCTGCACTCCCTCTCCATTTCACGCCTGTCTCTGTCTCCAAGACTTAACTCATACAGCTAATTTTCAGGAAACGAGTGTTGACAGAGGGGAAGGCCCCAGTGCTCAGGCAGGGTTTGCACACTGAGAATCAGGCACTCTGGCTTCTCCTCTTGGCTCTGAGAGACTGGGAACAAGTCCCTTCACCCGTGTGAACCCTGGTTTCTCCATCTGTGAAATGGTGGCTGTGGCGGAGGTGTTTCTGCGGGAGCAGAAGTGGGACTAGGGGGTTGCTCAGAGTGGAAGGGGCGATGGGGAAGTAAACACTCAGGGACCCCACCACGTGAGGCTCACCCTGTCCTGTGCACAGCACACGTGTGCGCACACAGTCACGAGGCTGCTGCATGGGAAGGGAGGGGCTGCTCGGGGTGGGGGGGCCCCCTTTCCACCCTCCCCAGGGAGCTGCCAGTGGAGGAAGTGAGGAAGGGCAGTGGCTTGGCGCCGAGGCCACACACGAGCTCTGCGGTGTGCAGGAAGAGGGGCTTGTTCTTGGTTCCATGTGGGTCTAACTCAGACCCAACTGTGCGTTCTAATTTTGTTCCTGGCTGGTCCATTTGTTGCTTCAAAAAAAAATGAGTAGTTCGAATAGAAAGTCACCACAGCCTTTGAGTGGGGGCTTGGCCGGGGCCGTAGCTGAGCTGTTCCCATTCCTGGCTTCGGTTTTGGTGCATGTCCTCCTGGAGGGCAGGGAGGAGGCCTGCACTTTTGTGTCTCCAGGGCCTAGGCTGGGGCTGGTCCACACTGGATGCCTGATAAATACTAACAGAGAGAAGGCTGAGGAAGCCAAGACCCCTCCTCTCAGAAGAGGGGGGTGTCCCTAAGATGTCCCCCCTTTGCCTGCTGTCTCCAAGCTGCTGGGCATTCTCGCCTGGCCTCCTAGTGCCCGGGCACCTCTTTTTTTTTTTTTTTTTTTTTAATTTATTTATTTTTGGCTGCATTGGGTCTTCGTTGCTGCGTGCGGGCTTTCTCTAGTTGTGGTGAGCGGGGGCTACTCTTCGTTGCGGTGCGTGGGCTTATTGCGGTGGCTTCTCTTGTTGGAGAGCATGGGCCCTAGGTATGCAGGCTTCAGTAGTCGTGGCTCACGGGCTCAGTAGTTGTGGCTCGCGGGCTCTAGAGCTCAGGCTCAGTAGTTGTGGCACACGGGCTTAGTTGCTCCGCGGCACATGGGATCTTCCTGGACCAGGGATCAAACCCGTGTCCCCTGCATTGGCAGGCGGATTCTCAACCACTGCGCCACCAGGGAAGCCCCGGGCACCTCTTGAAGCAGTGCCCCCATCCCCTGTAGGGCACCTCTGGGCAAATACCAGGGGGCTGACTGATACCCACCACACTGTGTGTCCAGTCTCCTACCCCGACGTGGGAAAAAGGTGATGTGAGCACAGTCCCAGCTGCACTTCCCTTGTCATCTGTGTGAATTGAGGCAGTTACGTCACCTCTCTGGGCCTCCATTTCCATGTAGGTAAAGTGAAGTTGGTGACACCTATTTCACAGGGTTCCTATAAGAAGCCACTGAGATACCAGTACTTGGAAGGACTTAGCACAGTCCTGGCACATAGTAGGAGCTCAGTACTTGGAAGGACTTAGCACAGTCCTGGCACATAGTAGGAGCTCTAGAAAAGGTAGTTCTGTTCCCCTTCCTGAGCCTCTCCTTCCTCCCTCCCCACAGAGAACAAGGAGATTTTAAATAGTTGAGTCCAAGCCAGGAGGACACCCACCACAGCGCTCCAACCTTTGCCTGTGGCAGAGGGCTAGTGTGCAGGAGCCGTGCCCACTGAAAACAAGCTCGGCAGCCTGTGGCACCCAGTACCTGTCGCGAGGGCACTTGGCCAAAGGTCACTGCCAGGGCACAGCCCCACTCAGAGAGTCAGGAGCTGGGACTCCAGGAGCCACCTTCCTCAGGCTTTGGGCCTTGGAAGGGACATGGGCTTCTGGGGGCTGCAGCCCAGTGGCTCAGGTGAAGGAGGAAACAAAAGGGAGAGGCAGCAGCAAAGGAGGAGGAATGGGGGTTCCGTGGGCTTGGGGTGATGAGGTCAGAGTTCAGAGTGAGGTCTGGGTCCAGGATGAGGACAGAGGAGAACAGAGAACCCAGAAGAGCCAAGAAGGTGGTTCCTTACTTTCACTCTCCTTGGAGGAGGGCGGGTACACAGCGCACTTGGATGGTGCTTCTTCGCCTGTGGGAGCAGAGAGAAGGGTCATTAGGTGGGTGTCAGACCCAGGAGACCAGGAAGACTTGTCCAGGCTGGCACGCCCCCCCTCCTGTCACAGGTACTCAGGCTAGTAGTGTCCCCTTGGCAACATTGGCCCAGCTGCGCGCACACACACACGCATACACACACACGCACGTACACACACACGCACGTACACACACACACACACACATGCACACACGGAGGCATATTTTCACTGCACAGCCAGGCATGCCCTGCCCATTGTCATGACACATGACACCCTCAGGGGCATGTCGATACCTGCCCATACCCACACCTCTATCTACTCTACCACCCCTTGCCTTCTCACCTAGACACACACACACACATACACACACACACACACACGTACACACGTACACTCTCCTGACACCCCAGGTGTGAGCCATGGAACTGTGGTGAGCAGTCACACTCCCAGCCCAAGTTCATACACCCCCTCCCGTTAAAAAGTCCCACTGTCATAAACAGAGCCACATACGCCCTTCCGTCCATCACAGCCAGCTACCCAGAGAGACACGCACACAGCTCCACACACCGTGCCACCCCTGTAGTGCCAGCACCACCCATACAGAATCACACAGCCTCCAGCACAGTGTCGCACCATCAGATGCACAGCGCCACCCCACCGCCACGCTGTCCTCCTCTCCGCTCCCCCTCCCAGACAAGCACAGGCACCATCCCCAGCGTGACGCCCCCACTCCAGCTGTCCCACAGAGGCAGCCCTCACCTCTCTGCACCTGCAGCTCCATGGCTCCGTAGAGCCGCTGCTCCGAGTGGCGGTGCCTGATCTCCACCACCAGGCAGCAGTAGAGGCCGCCGTCCAGCAGGGTCAGGTTGCGCATGGTGATGGTGAAGTTGCCGTGGTGGTCAGAGGCTGACTCCAGCCCATGGCGCTGGGCCAGATCCTGGCTGGAGTTGGCCTGGTGGCCGCCGTGGTGCAGGTGAAGGTCCTGGAACGTGAGGTTGCGGATGGGCCGGCGCTCCGAGCAGGCCTGCACCTCACCTCGTGAGCTGCGGTACCAGGTCTTGTAGAAGGTCACGTCGTGCCCTTTAGCCAGGGGGCCCAAGAGTCTGCAGGTAAGAGTGACGTTCTGTCCCTCGGGACACACGTACAGGGAATACGGCGTGGCGACCTTGAATGCTGCCACCAGACCTGCTCAGAGAGACGAGAGCCTGTCACCCGCCTGAGCCGGCGCCACTCCCAATGCCCCCAGAGTAGGGAAGAACCTTGGTCTGGGGCTTCAAAGATGCGGGTTCCCCAGCCACAAGCTCCAGGCAAGTCAGCTGACCTCCCCAAGCCTCAGCTTCTTCTTTAGTTCATGAACCCGGCTCCGCCCCAGGCTGTGTGGCAGGAGCCACAGGAGCTTCTCCAGGTGTAGCTGGATGAGGCATAGGAGAGACTCCAGGCAGGCAGCAGACTGGACCCGGCCAGCACGTGTCCCTCTCCCAGGGGGCACATGTGCTCCAGCCCCGGCTCCCATCCCCCTACTGCAGGCACCACGGCTCTGCCCACACCTGGCCCCTGGCACTTCCAGCTTCCATGCCCAGTGCCGTCGGGTGGGAAGCAGGGTGAGGAGAGGAAGGCTGTTGGGGAAAAGCAGCGCTTGGCCCTTGACTGCCCCTCTGGGGGCCAGCGGCTCCCAGGGCTGGCCTTGCCTTCGCGTTTCCTCATCCGTGAGCCCTAACAGAGCGTCTACCTGCGTGAGGCCTGTGCCAGGTGCTCCATCTCACCTGGAGGGGCTTATGGCCTAGCTGGGTAGACAAGTCCTGCCTCTTGACAAAATAACCCCATAGGCTAAAGGGCAAACCCGTACCAGCCTTCAGGGAACTTGGAGAAAAGAGGACACGACCTTCCTGGGGATGGTCAGGAGACTTCTTAAAGGAAGGAGGGTCTTTGGGGTAGACGGACAGAGAGGATTCCAGCAAGTGGAAGGTGGTAGGGAAGCAGGAAAACCCAAGGTGTCTAAGGGTCAAGGACAGGCAACGCAGAAAAGGTCGTCTCATCCAGGCACCCGCCTGCCACCCAGTCTTCTTAGAAATATTTTCTAGTTCATTTTGTTTTCAATAAGCAAATGAAGCCATGCCCTGGTCCTCTTTATCCTACCCCAGCCTCCCAGCATTTAACCAGGTTCACCCCCAAAGCACTGGCCCTTCAAAACAGAAAATTCTGTCTAGCTATGAGCCTCAGTTCCCTCATGTGTGCAGTGAGGAAAATATTAGCTACAAGAGGCTTGTGAGAGGACAGGATGACGAAAAGAGGAGAACGCGAGATGTGAGCTCTCATGCCCCCTGCAGACATAGGAGGGATAGCTATAGTTATTAGACATTAGTGATATTTTGATTTTAATTGGCTACAATCAGGGGCTGTTGCGGGCAGACAGGGAAGGAGGACCCTGTAAATGTGGACAGTATCAAAATGGATATGTCCTTTCTATGGCCGTTGCCTGAACCCAAGATAACAACACGACTTCTTCCTCCAGATGCCCCTTCCCTATTTTACAGCCCATCCCCCTCTCCCCTCACCTGGCAGAGCTGAAAGCCTGGCCCAGTCAGGAGAAGGGCAGCCTGGTGTAGCTTTGGAATTAGCCCGCCCTGCACTGGAGTCCAACAGCTGACAGTTACATAGACCCTGGGCCTCAGACTCCCCACTGTACAACATGGAAGTGAAACAGCTACCTGCCAGAGTTGAGGCAGAATTACAGATAATTTACATGAAATGCTCTGAAGGTTGGTGCTTGATACCTGGGAAAGATAGGTCTCTAACTCATTTCTGCAATTCAAGAGACGTTAGGACATTAAGAGTGAAAGCCGTTCTGCACAACAGAATGGAGAAGCCAGATTGAGATTCTCTCCCACTAAGGTGTGAATGACCGGTAACAGCTGTGGTCCAACCTTGGCCTGCCTGCATACTTAAAGCACAGTGTGAGGAGGCAGCAAAGCCACGGCCCCAAAGAATATGTCTGCGAGGGTGGAGTTTTAAGCCCCAGAAGGTAAAAAGGACAGACACACACCAGAGCCTCCCACTTAACAGCACCCACATGTGAGAGGGAGCCATGTCTGGGAGCCCCAGATTTTTGGAAAGTCATTGCCAAGGTAAGCAGGGATTTCAGAACTTCTTCAGCGAGATGCTGATCTCCCTTTCCAGCAGAAATATAGAAGCCCAGAAAGGGAAAGTGGTTTGCCTGAAGTTCCAGAGGGTATAAACTCAGAACCTAGAGCATGGGGGCTTCAGGTGAAGCAGGATCTAGTTAGAACTAGAAGAAGGAATAGCATGGACATGTCTAACAACCCAGTAAGGCAGGTGTTCTTTTCCTTCCTGTTTCACCGATAAGGAAACAGAGGCACAGAGATGTTAAGTAACTCACCGAAGTTCACGTAGCAAATAAGTACTAGAGTCAAAATTAAACTCAGGCACTTAGACTCTGTACTGAAAGAAAAAACTGTAGAAACTGGCAGCCCACCGGCCATACTCAGCCTTCAAACATATGTTATTTGACCCTCAACGTATTTTACTCTTTTTTTTTTTTTTTTTTGAGATCGCCAAAATGTAAAGACCGGGAATTTGATATGAAAATTCCGACTTGTAGCTTCTCTTTTAGAGTCAGTAAATTAACACTAAAGCAGCTCTCCTATGAGGCAGCCGTCCACTGGATCTGAGCAGCAGCCTCCTTTTTAGATGGGACACTGGTGTTCTAGCTGCTGCGGTCCCTCCTACTTACTCCCTAACTTCCCACCTGGCCTGCCTCATTCCCTCACCATAAATGTCCCGTGGGCATCTGAGTTTCTGATCCATGAGTGTGGCTCCTTGGTGTAACCAGGGAGGGATTCTACTCCCCAAGCCCACTGTTCTACAGTTGAAACCCTCAGGCTCAGAGAGGAAATGATCCACCCAAGGTCCCCGGTGGAAGCCTGACTGCCAAATTTTGGTTGTGCCAGTAAATGGAAGTGGGGAGTAGCTACAGAAAGGATCCTCTAAGGGAGAATAAAAACCCACCCAGAGGGTGGACCCTGGATTATTTCTGCCCTCTACTCCCCCTTTCCCCAGCAGGCCACAGGGCAGCTCCCAGCAGCATCTCTCCCAGCTGGTAACTGGTTTCCCCTTTTCCCAACATTATCTTCAGCCCCAGAACTATCGCCAAGGGTGAGAGCCGAATCCACATCCAGCAGCATTTGCAGGAGCACACACACCTTGGGGGCCACGGGGAAGCTGGCTCAGTAGAGGCCAGGGCCGCAGGTCTGGGGTGGGCAGAGGCAGACGCAAGAAGTGGAGCACAGAGCTGAGCAGGGCGGGGAATGTTGAGTGGACAGAGGTGTGGACGGGTTGGGGCCAAGATGTGGCAAGACTGAGGCTAGCTTGTGGGCGGGGTAGGTGTGGGCAGGATGGGAGCAAGCAGCAGGGCCTCCAGTGGGGCACCAGCCCAGGGCCTCCAGCAGGACGTCAGGCCCAGAGCCCCCTGAGTCCAAGCAGTGGTGTTAATGACTGCAGAATTGCCCAGGAAGCGGTGGAGAGGGGATTTTCAGCCCGAGGAGCGATTTCGTTGAAGACCCACAGTGGGGACACACAGAACTGGGGTTCAGAGACAGAGTTGGGGAGGGGGCATTGCTCAATCCCTTACACCCCACACGCCCCAGAAGGACCTCTTCCCCTTTTAGAAAAAGGAGAAGCTACCCTGGGCTTTAGGTTTGGGCATGGGTGAGAGTATTCAGTTTGAGCAAAAGGGCCAGACAGGAGTGGGCCGGGCATCTACAGGTTTTGTCCTGGGGGGAGAGAAAACATCTTGTTTGTGGTGTCTGAGACTGCAGCCAGGACAAGGCGCACGGGCAGCCTGTCCTTAGGAGGACTCTCAAGGGCACGGCGTTAGGGAAAACAGCGCACATGCCCCGTGCCTTCCATGACTGCGCATGGGCACGTGTTATCAGGGGCTATAAATAGCCCAGCTGGAATTATAATTATTTGGCGGGAGGATGTTGCTTATTGTCAGGGGCAGATCCTTCTGGACACCTGGGGCATTGTCGGAGACTGGGGAGGAAGGCCCCTGGCTCCAGGGTGGCCGAGAGCATGTGGGACAGGAAAAGGCCCCCAGCCCTGGGCTGAGCCTGTGCCCATGTGGGAACCATCCATCATTGTGCTGTTCTTGGGGCCCTGCATCCCACCCACCCAGCCCCCACCTGCTGCTGGGTAAGATGGCAGAAACACCTGGAGGAAGAATGCTGTGATCCTGGGAAATGTGAGGTCTCAGGATTAAAACTCTGGCCTGGGCAGGCAGATCCCTGGGCCCCGATCCCCACTTAGCCCTGCCCTTACTGTGTGCCTTTGGGCAGATCCCATCCTTCTCTGGGCCTCCCTTTCTTCCTCCTATCTGGAGAGACTCCCCACATTCCTAGGCCCCTTCCAGCTCTGAAACCCTGTGGCAGATGAGAAAGGCTGTCTTAGGGCAGAGGAAGGAGGCAAGAATGGGCTACAAAGGTGATCACGGGCATTTATGAGCCCCTCTTACATGTTAGGACTTGCTGAGCACTTTATACTCGTATAAGTCTCATGACGCCCCTGATGTAGGTCTCATTATCCCCAGTTTAAAGATGAGGAAATCAAATCAGAAGTCAAGCGATTTGCCCAAGGCCACACAGCCCTACGTGGCTGAACTGAGACCCACACCTTGGACAAGCCAGCACTACAGGCGCAAGAGCCCTCCACCCCTCCAGCGGGCGGGGCTGACACCTCATCCTCCAGCTACTTAGAGAGTAAACTGACCTCCAGTTGACGTCTGTGCTCTCCACGCAGCCAGCCTTGCTCTGCCTCAGACCCAAACCGAAAACATCATTCTTTCATTCCACAAATATTTACTAAGGTCCCAACATGAGCCAGGCCCAAGGCAGAGAGGCCATGGGGGTGCAGAGTTCCCTAAGGGACTTCCGCTCAGAATTTAGCCCCGCTTCTGCCACTTTCCAGCAGTGGGACCCTCAGCCGCGGAGGGGCTCAGCCTCTTGTGAAAGCTCCCATGTAGGGAAAGGAGTTCTTGTTCACCTTCATCTCGGGATGCTAGTTTTTTGTGACCTCTTTCCGCCCATAAGCTCTCACCTCGTGAAACCCTGTGGGTGTGCATGGGATGGGTGTGTGTGGGTGTAGACAGGCCTGTGTATTTACCCTGACCT